TCGGGGACCGAGGGTGGTATGTTTCCGAGGTACACGGGTGACCGAGGACACGTGTTGTATAATACACTGAATGCATGATCCTTTAAGAGGTACCTCGGGGGAGAGGACGCTCTTCGCCGATGGTGCTTACATCCGGGCAACACTGTTTCCAAAAAACCCGAGGACACGTGTCTTCATCTTAGGGCTTTTCAGAAGAGTCCCATCAAGACCCATATTTCTGATCATCATTATCACTCAAGGCCAGGGCTAAAACGACTTCCCGAAGGTTTTGAAAGCACTAAGGAAAACTTGGAGGGAGCTCAATCTAAGTCTCTTCGGGCGATTGAATGCTCTCAATCTAAGTCTCTTTCGTAGAGACACTTGGCTATGATGCTTGATTCGTTAATACGAACTCGTTTAAGGGCTGAGAATGTCAAGCGTGCTATTATAGATGGGTATCGTTTATAAATTCTGTAAACATGAAGGAATGTCATTGTAATTTCTCAAAAATAAAAGATAACGGATAAAAGGTGAATTTTTCATTTAATTTTTTTATTTTAATAAAACAAACAAAAATAGCATCTTCTCACATCACTCAAAATGATATATGATACAATTGTACAGGTCACCATCCACAACAAACCGACAGTAACTATACCAATACCACCAACCTTAATATCACCGGCACATGAGCATCATCCAATAAGGTTTGTCACACATCCCAACAAACTTGAGGCCTTAATTATGTTGATTTTTTTTTTTTTCCAAATGTCTGGGTGTTTAGATTTTTTTGTATGCTTTTTAACTAATTTTCTCTTTAATTTGGTTAAAAACAGACCATACACGCCGAAATTAGAGTATTCGTGAAGAATAAAGTCTTTATGGTTTAATCCTAATGGGTTACCAAGATTCGAACTCCCTGATACCACTTCAACAACTCCCTTAAAGTTTTATGTTCATTGTTATCACTTACTAAAAACTTAAAATAATTATTTAAACTTAATTTACCACTGTCATTTAATGATACATGTCTCCATCAATATCAAAATACACTTTCAATCGAATGATAGTGATTAATACGATCAAATGTGAGTATTCGTGCGCTTAAAATAAATTTAATATGTGTTGTGTGTGAATTAAAAAATACGGGAATTAAAGTTTCCAAATAAATTTTCAATAGAAATTATAAAAAAATAAAAATAAGAGTATTGTATATTAGATGGTAGTGTTGATATTAGAAAAATGATATTGAAATTAAAAAACGTTATGCTTTTTAATTAATTGCCCCCAAAAAATCACATAGTACTTATTAAAGAACAAAACTCATATAACATTTATAGTTGTAAATCAACAATGCTACTCACATTATTTTTGTGCACGATATCTTATTTTTATTATGAAATCGTGTCATAATTATTGTTAGAACATAATTCTGATATCACTTGTTAATTTTGCACAATAGATAATTAATACAAATAATACTTGTTGGAAGATAAGAATTCAAAAATAAGAAAACAATAAAAATATGATACAAATATATAATGTAGTTCGATACAGCATAACTACTTAGTACGTCGTATTTACATCCACAGACCAATAATCTACGTTGATATATTATTCACTGAAATCTGGTGATCGAGTAATTGATTATGTAATACTCAACCCTATTTATATGGATAAAATACTGTAACTCAAAACTATTTAGATACAACTTTATATTTATTTTTCCTATCACATGTCTAATATATCTATTTATGATATATTAAAACTCTGTCAATATAATCATATTTTANAATTTTCTCTTTAATTTGGTTAAAAACAGACCATACACGCCGAAATTAGAGTATTCGTGAAGAATAAAGTCTTTATGGTTTAATCCTAATGGGTTACCAAGATTCGAACTCCCTGATACCACTTCAACAACTCCCTTAAAGTTTTATGTTCATTGTTATCACTTACTAAAAACTTAAAATAATTATTTAAACTTAATTTACCACTGTCATTTAATGATACATGTCTCCATCAATATCAAAATACACTTTCAATCGAATGATAGTGATTAATACGATCAAATGTGAGTATTCGTGCGCTTAAAATAAATTTAATATGTGTTGTGTGTGAATTAAAAAATACGGGAATTAAAGTTTCCAAATAAATTTTCAATAGAAATTATAAAAAAATAAAAATAAGAGTATTGTATATTAGATGGTAGTGTTGATATTAGAAAAATGATATTGAAATTAAAAAACGTTATGCTTTTTAATTAATTGCCCCCAAAAAATCACATAGTACTTATTAAAGAACAAAACTCATATAACATTTATAGTTGTAAATCAACAATGCTACTCACATTATTTTTGTGCACGATATCTTATTTTTATTATGAAATCGTGTCATAATTATTGTTAGAACATAATTCTGATATCACTTGTTAATTTTGCACAATAGATAATTAATACAAATAATACTTGTTGGAAGATAAGAATTCAAAAATAAGAAAACAATAAAAATATGATACAAATATATAATGTAGTTCGATACAGCATAACTACTTAGTACGTCGTATTTACATCCACAGACCAATAATCTACGTTGATATATTATTCACTGAAATCTGGTGATCGAGTAATTGATTATGTAATACTCAACCCTATTTATATGGATAAAATACTGTAACTCAAAACTATTTAGATACAACTTTATATTTATTTTTCCTATCACATGTCTAATATATCTATTTATGATATATTAAAACTCTGTCAATATAATCATATTTTATATAAGATTCTCACATTGATTATCCAATAAACTCTCATTCATAATAACTAGCGAGTTTAAGTAAAATTTTATAATCATTAGATATGATATGTGACGAGACTCGAGAGTAGTCACTAATTCAAACCTTTATATCGAATTGTCACAAAAAAAAATGGTGAATGTAATATAATTAGGAATATATTTTAACTATAGATTTTGTTTTATTTTTATTTGTGACCACTGATTAAAAATTAGAAAGATAAAATATTTTTTCAATATCATAATCTATATAATATTATAACTAGTAAGTTAAATTCTCAACTTAAAAAAAAAGGAACATCAATCAAGATTGATCCATTCATCTATTTTGATCTAATTAGTTGGTGCACGCGAATTATTTGACTTTTTTTTTTTAAAATAGATAAATTGGACCAATTTTATTTATATAGAGATGATTATATATTATATGATAGTTATTGAATTTTATGGGGTGTACTTATTCACTTGTTTATTTGTTAGTGGACGATTGTACCAAGTGATATTCCTGACGTAAGGTAACCGTTAGTCTCAAGATTTTTTTCGTATTTTGGGTTGTATGAATTAAACTGCATAAGATTCAAAAAAACAACTGAATAGCATTGCATTTAAATATTGTAATGTCTAACTTCAATACGTGATTAATAATTGGATGACTAATAATTTTTTGTATTAATAAGAAGTTATTACAATAGGTTATTATTGTCTTGTTATATTTTTAAGAATAGTATTATCAATTAAATTTTGTTAACAACCATTAACATTTGAAAGTAGTATATAGATCATTCGATCTATTAAAATATTTATTTTTTAGCAAATTTGGATATGCATTACATACCCACAAATATATGATGTAATTTGGTAATTATTTAATAAAATTGAGGAAAAATTCATGTGTTAAATATTAAAATTATCTATAATCAACTTATTCAGATCATAATGTATATCTATTTTAATAGATTCATGTATGTGTTGTAAAAAATAAAATTTGTTGGACAATTGAATTGGATTCGGATCACATTTTTTAAATTGAATTTGAATCAAATTTATATTATTTGGAAAAAAATAATTAAAAGTCAAATAACGAATTTAGTAGTTAAATTAATGCAACTAATAAAAAAATAAAAATTCCTCAAAAAATGATAATGTAGACATTATAGAATTTTTCTTTTTTATTTAAAAAAAATAAATTCTTAAACTACTTTAAAAAAGATAAAATAAATATTTTAAAATTATTAAAAGATAAATAAGAAAATCAAAAAAATTTCACTTAAGCCATTTTTATTAAATGGATAGTATAGATGTTACAAAATTAATTCCAAAACATTTTTTTCTGCTCAAAAGCATCATTTTCATTATACGACCCGCAATTAAGCATGTAAACAGATCGGATTTTGGTTTATCCGAATTTGACAATTTGAAAAATTATATTTTTGTGGTCCATATGAATCAAAAAATTCGATCTGATCATAATAACTTAATTAATTAATATTTAACAAATTAATCTAAATTTCAACTATATTTCTTTAAATAATCACTTAATTTTTTTAATATTTATATATAAATAATTTAGATTGAATATCGGTATATTCAAATAGAAATCCATATAATATTTAAAATTTAAATTATTAATAAAAAATATCAATTTATATCCGACTAATAGGATCGGATCAAAATTTGAACCATCGACAGCCTACCTCTAATACCAGACCATTTCATGAATTGATACTTATGTCTCTCTTTTTTGTCTCCTACCCCTTGTTTTATTTTATTTTTATTTATTTAATTTTGACTTATATAATTGTTTTTATTAAATATTATACGATTAATTTTTATTTTTTATTATTATAAATAATTTTCAAAAATTCTAACTCTTATCGTATTTAAAAATTCCGAATCTGAACACGTATTTGAGTTGGACAAGAACTTACCATACTTTTAATGTATAAATAAATTAGAAGTTTTATAATGTAGAATCCACCTAAACAAGTGCGTAGGCCAGAGAGAGAAAAAGAGAGGAGAGAGAAAGAGAGTGTGTACAATTTTGACCATTCACTTTCTGGATCTAGGGTTTCTTTCGTGACAACTCTTTCATCGTCATCATAGCAAAATCAAACCGTAGCTCAGAACAATCAAAACTGATTCGATTTGGATTTGAATCGAGATGTCGAATCCGACTGCGTATTTTTCATCATCATCATCGCCGAAAACCCTAAATTTCCATATAGTACTTTTTTGATATACTACTCAGCAATCGATCTATAAATTTGGAAAAATCGGACGACGAATCAACTGATATCTAGGGTTTATGATGATTTTCCATGACAAAAAATCATAGATCTGTATGTATTTCTTGAATCTATATACTGAAACCGAAGAGAAAGAAACGTTGAAGAGAAACTGAAAGAAAGATTTGATTATTTGGTTGAGGGAAAAAAAATGTATAAATCGATTGTGTATGAAGGGGAAAGAGTACTGGGAGAAGTGGAAGTATATCCACAAAATCAGCACGGTGTCGTTTTTGAGAAGGAAGTATCCATCTCTCACTACTCCCAACCGAGTGAGAGGTGTCCACCACTTGCAGTGCTTCACACTATTACTTCCACCGGTGTTTGCTACAAAATGGAGTCCTCCTCCAAGTCCCAGAATCAGGACTCGCCGCTGAACCTTTTGCACTCTTCCTGTCTCAGAGAGAACAAGGTATTGCCCCCCAGAAGTTACCAACTTTAAACTCCAAATTAATTCTTGTAAGGCCAAGAAAACCCAATTTTCAGACCAAAGAATCCCTAATTTAAGGGAAAAATCTGATTTACAGCAACCCGGATTAATAAGTTGAGGACTGGACAAATTTGGACAAGGATTCTTAACAATATGAACAATTTAAGCGAAACCGCTACTGATTTGACTTGTGATTTTGCAGTTTAGCCTCAAATTTGGACTTAATTCGAACAACTTCAGTGAACCAGTGATGATGTGGCTTGTAATTTTGCAGTTTTGCCCCAAATTTGGACTAAATTGATGATTTCCAGAAAAGTATGGAGAACCCACCCAGTTTATGGAACTCAGAATCTATTAATGATTTGGCTAATGATTATGCAGTTTTGCCCCAAGCTTTGGCCTGAATTGATGGTACCTGGAAACATATGAAAAGCGCACTTCATGAATTTGTTAACTGATGATCATATCCTATAGAACCTCTGTGATGCCAAGAATATGTCATATGATGTTAATAACAGTTAGGAGATGTTGGTTTTCCTATGGATGGAATTGACAGAGATCTCTTATGCATATATAAGTAGAATTGGGACTTGTTTATTGGGATAATCTGCACCAAATTTAATTTCATGAACTTTAAGTTTGGGAACAATTCTCTTCTTGTTTTAATTAGGTTATTTGCTCTAGAATTCGCATAGAATGGGATTAGTGGATTAAATTTGACTATGCAAATAATACATTCACCCTTTCTCTTTCCAGTATAAAGTGCATGAAGAACAGGGTTGTCAATGCAATATGGTCTTCATAATGCCTGTTGGGTTAATTGAGCTTGGCCTTTCTTTCTCTGGTTTGGGTGCTCTACTGCAATTTTTTCCAGCTGAAAATAGAGGCATGCAGAAGTTGTCTTGCTTTGATATTTTGTGGCATTTGAATTGAATTCTTTAAATTCGGTCTTGCTTTGTCTTTGATATTTATTCTTGCTTTGATAATTATGCTGCAGCATCCATGCAGTTCTTTTTCCTCCTTTTCATTTCTTCATACATGCACATGGGCATATTAGTCTTACCAACATTCATTGATGATTATGATATCTGTGTCTGTAGACTGCAGTAATGTCACTTGGAGGGGAAGAGCTCCATTTGGTTGCCATGCATTCTAGGAAGCATGATGGACAGTGCCCTTGTTTTTGGGGATTCATTGTTGCACCAGGACTTTACAATTCTTGTGTTGTCATGCTAAACCTAAGATGTCTTGGCATTGTTTTTGATCTTGATGAAACACTTATAGTTGCCAACACAATGCGCTCTTTTGAGGATAGAATTGATGCTCTGCAGCGGAAAATAAGTTCTGAGGCTGATCCACAACGTAGTTCTGGTATGCTGGCAGAGGTTAAGCGGTATCAGGATGACAAGATTATATTGAAACAATATGCTGAAAATGATCAGGTTGTTGACAATGGGAAGGTGATTAAGTCTCAGTCTGAGGTTTTTCCAGCTTTGTCTGGCACTCATCAACCTATTGTTCGCCCACTTATACGGCTACAGGATAAAAATATTATCCTTACTCGTATCAATCCATTGGTATGTATATATAATTTTAGATTGTTTGATCCCAGTGTTGTTCAATTACATAAATGCTATTATGTAATTGCCTTAAAGTAATTATAAATGCTATTATGTTGTTCAATTACATAAATGCTATTATGTAATTGCCTAAAAATATTATAAAATTTGCTTGGAGCACACGATGGGGGTCTCTGGAACACTTGACAGATGCCATAGTTTTGTTGCATTTGTTTTTTTAATTCTGTTTTTCCGATATATCAAAATTTCGTTGTTTATTGTAGGTTCGTGATACAAGTGTCCTGGTGAGACTAAGACCTGCATGGGAAGATCTCCAAGGCTACTTGACTGCTAGAGGTCGAAAGCGTTTTGAGGTTTATGTATGCACAATGGCTGAAAGAGATTATGCTCTAGAAATGTGGAGGCTTCTTGATCCAGAGTCAAACTTGATTAGCTCAAACGAGCTATTGGATCGAATTGTGTGTGTCAAGTCTGGTAAGATTTATAGAGATAAATATTCATGCATTTTCAGTTTTAAAATCTTGCGATTATGTGAAACAGCATGGTCTCTGTATCTCTCATTTCTACTCTTACTTTCCAATAGGCTTAAGGAAATCATTGTTCAACGTTTTTCAAGATGGAAACTGTCATCCTAAGATGGCATTGGTGATTGATGATCGTCTAAAAGTGTGGGATGAGAAAGATCAACCTCGAGTGCACGTTGTCCCTGCATTTGCTCCATATTATGCTCCTCAAGCTGAAGTATTAAATGAGAATTTTGTTTTTTCTTTCTTCTGTTCTACTTTTCCTTTTCAAATTTGAAATTTAACCCTTCTTTAGTGACATGTCACTTAAAAGATATTCATTCTCTTGTAGGCAAACAATGCTGTCCCAGTACTGTGTGTTGCGAGAAATGTAGCCTGCAATGTCAGAGGTGGTTTTTTCAAGTAAGGATATATCAACCCTCAGAAAGTTAGTATGGGCACACACAGAGCACACCTTGTCTTGCCAATGTTGGAGTTGGTGTCTAGTCTTGATAAGTCAAATTTTGCTTTGATTATATTTGTTGCGGCATATTTTCTATTCACTTGACAAGACCTAATTTAATGAAGAGAATTTGACGAGGGTCTATTACAACGGATTCCTGAAGTTGCATATGAAGATGATGTGAAAGAAATGCCTTCTCCCCCTGATGTCAGTAACTACTTGATCACGGAGGTAAGTGAAAACAAGCTATTATGTCCCTTCCGTCAGTCATGCAGTTGCGGTGGATTTTTTTGTCATGGTTCCAAATCTGATATGGTTATTGTGTCCATGACTGTGTAGTTAGTTTAGAGAGTCTGTGTTTGGTCGGACATTCACTTAGAAAATTCTTGTGAATTGATATAATTTGTGTGATGCTCAGGATGATGCTTCCTCATTGTATGGAAACAAAGATCCACTTGGTTTTGATGGGATGGCAGATGCTGAGGTGGAAAGGAGATTGAAGGTAACATACATTGTGAATCTGTGATGATGAGGCTCTTATACTCTTATTTGATGTCTAAATTCAAGGATCAATATGCAATCTAATTAAACTAGGTGAATGTTCACTTTTTACTTCTAGTGCTTATGGGAGTCTTTGATGTTTGAATGCATTGAATTATACAAATATTTATGTTACACCCTCTCTAATTTTAGAGCAAATAGTGGTTTAACATGGTATCTGAGCAGGATATTTTGTGTTCAAATCTCGCTGCCGCACTAACAGTTGTAAACTTCATTTTTTTTGACCCAAAACCTTGTCTGCATGTGAGTGGGTGTGTTCTGTGTTTAAGTATGTAAATATTTGTTGTATTATCTCTAATAGCTTAAATTTTAGAACAGATGGTAGTTTAATAGAATGTTGAACTGCTTGTGATTAAATATTTTGTTGGTCCTCTTAATTAATTGGAAAAATTCTGAAACTTATGTGTATGAAAGGTGATTGTAGTTTCACTTTATCAACGTGATTATTCAGGATGCATTTTCCGCTTCCTCAGCAGTCCCTTTGCCAATCACTAATTTAGATCCAAGAGTTGTTCCTCCTCTACAGTACACAGTAGCATCTTCGTCTATTTCAATTCCACCGGCAGCATTACAAGGGCCAGTTATGCCTTTTTCCAGTAAGCAGTTACCACAGGTGTCCCCATTAATCAAATCAATGACTCAAATCGTCCCTCTAGAAACTACCTTGCAAAGTTCTCCTGCTAGAGAAGAAGGTGAAGTACCCGAATCTGAATTAGATCCTGACACGAGGAGGAGGCTTCTCATTTTACAACATGGTCAAGATACAAGAGATCCTGCCTTGAGTGAACCTCAGTTTTCTGTACAACCTCCAATACCAATACCAATTTCTGTTCCACGGGTTCAGCCGCGTGGAAGTTGGTTTCCGGTGGAGGAAGAGATGAGCCCAAGACAGCTGAACCGAGTGGTACCACCCAAAGAATTTCCTCTAAACTCAGAGGCAATGCATATTGAGAAACACCGACCTCAACATCCCCATTTCCTCCATAAAGGGGAGAATTCTATCTCATCCAATAGAGTTCTCGTTGAAAGTCATCGGCTGCCAAAGGAGGTAATGGTATTTGTGTTGACCTGATCTATTTGAGTGTTTATGCTGAAAGGTGAAAGTGGAACTGTGGTCGATGAAATGTATTGATCTTGCTGGATTGTACTTGCAGGCTCTTCAAAGAGATGATCGGTTGAGGTCAAACCATTCATTGCCTAGTTATAAATCTTTTTCAGGTAAGATATGAACTGTGTATACTTGCCTAGTGAATTTACTTATAATTTAACATTCCACGGGAAAGTTCAGAATAATTTGACATTATATGCAAATATATTTTTATTTTCAGAACGCCTGAAAAATTTTCAAGATGACATTCTAGGGAGTAGAAACAGCCATTTGTGGCTTTGCTGCCTTTTTACACTTGCACACTGGGTGGTGGTTGGGTTGTTATATTTCTATCTCTTCCTATATAGTATATATATATCATTACTGGGGAGCAGTTTTTGTGCTAGAATCAACCAGTTCTCATGTGATTGTCCTTGGTTGTTGAAAGTTTTTTTTTCTCTTAGAATAATGGAAACAAACATTACAAGGATGATATTTGAGTTTTCTTTGCATGAGCTGATTTTCTTTCTGTCTGTTTGCTGTAAGTTACAAAGTTTTTAATTCTAGACTAAACGTGACTGGTGGTCTCTAGAACCGTTGTTTATGTGTTGTAAGTTGGAGCTTTTCTTTGCTACTATGTACATTTATATTCATGCATATGCTTTGTGTGCATGTGGATCTCAGTGGGAATAACTTTTTGTTTTTTGTGAAATATCAATTGTTGGTTTGTGTTTCATTGATGTGAGTGTCAGCATACATTATAAGCATGGAAGCTGAATACGGAAAACATGTAAACTTTTACAATGAACAAATTCAAGTATTGATATGGCTTTTTGGAATATTATTATCATAAGGTTATGATAAACATCATGATAGTCTCTTATTTAACATAGTAATGTGTATTAGCCTACTATATGAAAACTTTTATGAGTTGTAAGACTGGACCAAAAAAATATAGAAAATATTGAGAGGAAGAATCTTCTCCCTTTCTTAGGCTGGGGGAATTGGCTTTTGCTGATATGATTTAGGATTGGACTCTAAGAAGGAATTATTGAATTGTAATGATGAACTTACTAAAAATTACTAGTAATAAATGATTGTAACGATGAAAACCAAGACCAAATCTACATAATCTATACTTGTATCATAAGCAAGGGTACCTTTTGGTCGCTGGCTCAGCATCTTAATTGTTTTTAAAACATCTCTCAACATCCATATAATCAATTGAATGGTTTTTTGGGTAAATTATAATAATTCAAATGGTTGTTACAATCCTTGAACATATTTGGATTCTTCCCGATCAATTTACCATTTCCATTTTTGTATCATCTCTCTCTCTCTCTCTCTCTCTCTCTCCCATTATGCATCATGCTTGCACCACTTTCTAGTGTTAGGAAATCTGAACAATGTCTGCCTATATTATTTCCCCCCCTTACAGGATTAAGGCCCTTTTTGAATTCAAATCTGAAACCTTATTCTTTCCTTACATACTGGACGATGCTGCAATACTCTTTTTGGTTACTTGTGTCTTGCTTAAATTATTATATTATGATTTGCACAGTCCTGGTCTAGATTCCTGGTTTATCTGTTAATTGGAGAATGTCGCATGCCCATAGTTGTCAATATATGATAAAGGTCTCATTGCTCCTCCGTAGTAAAAAAGGGAAGAAACCATCACGTGGAGTGATGGGAAGAATTGAGTCTTTGGCGGCCTAGTAGCTCGAAACAGGCAGTGGAACTAGCATCAGATTTGTATATAGGCTCGCTGAATTGGTTACATGCCTGTAGCTATTGTTGAAAGATAAGTATTGGTGCCTATTTTGGTTTTGTCATAGCCGATGCTCTTGCAATAACATTTTTGTGGTGCTTCTCTGACAGGAAAAATATTTACTGTGACGCATAATTTTCTTTTGTTTTGGAGGGTGGGGGGAGTTAGGTAGGTTGAAGGGTAACAAACTTCTGTGACTTGTGGAAGCAATTGAAGAACTTTATGGTATGGTCCATTCATATGCATTTAAACCATTAAGAGCAAATCGCTACATTAAGTAAGAAACAAGCCATTTCATTGACAAAGATTACATCCATGCTCAAAATCTGATCTAACTAGGTTTGACAGTAAAAAGGGGTCATTGGTTAAGTTGTAAAACTTCGATCCAACAACCCTGAGATCATGGGTTTGAATCTAAGCGCAAGCATTTTTTGCAAATAATGCTAAAAGGTTGAGTCTGTATCCAGTCCACTATGCCAAGCATCCCCAGTTAATGAGGGCTAAAGTTGGTAAGTACCTAGAGTTAATGGTAACCATTGATTAATTTAGTGTGGCCATACATGAGGAAACAAGACAATTATTCTTGTTGAAATGTTGGATATATTTCTTCCATGCGAACTGTCACAAGGTAGGGTACCTATGTCCACGGTTCCGATACGACTCGGTTGAGTCATATCCATCTCGACCATGCTCGATCCGATATCGATACACGATAAGTAAATATCATGACTCACCCATGACTCGGCAGTGAATCTGTTATGACTCGGTATTATCGGCTTGACTCGGACTCATATGGTTTGAATCGGACGAGTTACATTGGACTCGGACCGATGCTAGTAGAATGTTCAACAAATCTCCAAAATCAAATTGGCAATGGAAAAAAAAGAAATGGAGAATAAGATTTGAAAGCAAATTGAAAGAATTGCAAGGCCTACCTGTTAAAATTGAAGATACGGAAAGACCCCTCTTTCTTTTTCTTCTTCTTCACAGTGGCGGCAAAGAAGCATGCACATGTAACAATTCTGACTCGCATGGTTGCACCCTCAGCTGGTCTCGTGATCAAAACTCTCTCTTGATCAGTCGATTTATCTATCTCTCGATCAGTCGATCTCTCTCTCTCTCTCTCTCTCTCTTCGTCTGAAATAAGTTCCTCCTTTCCCTAGTCAATCAATTGTAACTCAAATAATTTAAGTCGGAGTCAGTTAGACAATTAAACTTGGACCATTGCCTTTTATTATTATATTTTTTATCTTTTCTATGCCTTTTAATTTAGATTTTAAGTCACAGTTTTTATTTATTTATTATTATATTTTAAATCACAGTGTTTTTTATTTATTATTATATTTTAAGTTGCAGTGGTTTTTTTTTTCAATTTAAATTTTTTCCAAGTAACTCTTTTTTCTCAGTATTGCGCTTATAATTTATTTTTACTATATTTAATGTATTAAATAATACATTTTTGGGATTAATGCTTGAATTATAATGTTTACAATTTTTTCGTAAATTTTTTGGGCTCTCTATCTAATTGTTTTGTGTGTAACGGCCGATATTGCGCCGCGATGTCGCAACCGATGTGTCTGAGTACCCTTTGAGTTGGTGACCGATATTACAACTTTAAACCATGCCTATGTCTGACTCGAAGTAATGGAAAGGCTTGATAAAGTTGACTATTCAATTCAAGCTGGTTGGAATGCCCATAGCTTATTTTGTCCTATAGCCATAAGAGAGAGTTGGCTCTGTTGAGTGCCAAACCAGAATTTGATTTGGTACTTACACCTAATTGTGCCTAAAATAGATAATTGGTTTTAACTAACATGCTTATTTCACTGATTGAGAATGTTAAGATGGATTTGTGGTAAAACTACAATGGATAAAAGTAGTAATGAATATATGCGTGAATAAGTGGAGGTAGTATATATAGACACTAAATTAAGGGAGAATCTACTTAGGTGGTTTGGATATATCTATAGGCAGCCTACTGCAGCACTGGTGAGAATGAGTAATTAGAGAGCTGTTGACGGTAAGTGTAGGGGTAGAAGACGATCAAAATTAACTCTACATGAAAAAGTAAAGAAATATATGATAGCTTTTGTTTTAACAGAAAACATGACCTTAATAGATCACAATGGCGAAACAAGAACCTATAGCCGACCCCAACAATGTTGGGGCAAGACTTTGTTGAGGTTGAGTTGAGAGTTTGGTTCATGGATATGTTTCTTAAATATATATCCCGATTTTGAAATCTATCAATTTCTGTTCATACAAGATCATAATATTTTTTGTGTTTTTTCAAAGGGTGAGTTGAATTTAGTAGTTTCTGGTTTGCATGAACTTAAATGTAGTGAATCTATACAGTATCCTGTTCCACCAACAACAATACCTGTGTGTTGGTATACATGAGTGCCTTGAACAAAATTCTGGCATGTTGACATTTCAAGTTTAATTTAAAACCCTTCTTTTTTTTTTCTGAGAGTGTCACTATTTTTCTTTAATACTCTTTAAGTTATAAATATTTTTGTATGAAGTCTGAAAGTGACATGATATTAATATCATGTGCTTATTAAGCTCGTGGGATATAGAGCATGAGTGTTAGAGCAGCCTCAAAACCAAGACGAGTTGTTCGCGTATTTGTGTTGTCATCTATTATATTTGCTATTTTGTCTTCCTACTCTATACATTGACACAGATAGCAATGTCCACCACGTAATTTGGGTGAAATAAAATGAATTATATTAGAGTTCATAATTGAAGACCTGGAGCATTACCCAAGTTCTACTTTCTGTGATTTTGTTATAATGGAATTAGTGGAATTTGTTATGATTGGAATTAGTTGTTCTTAAATATGGATCTGGTGTATTTTGTATAAGTGCAACTATTAATATGCTGTGTCATTTTTTTTAAAAGGAAGTAGTGGAATTTTTTTAAAGTCATTTTTTGGTCCCCGGGGGCAGAAAAAGGTAAAGAATATTTGGGTTGCTGGAATTTTATAACAGTGACTTTGATACACAGTATGGGCTTATCAGATTTGTAAGATGGAGGTTCATTTGTTAATCGTGATCAAGGCTAAAATGCATGTTTTGTCTTAAAGTCTGATTTGTAAGATGTTTTCTGTCATGTTGTTATAGTTTTGATTCTTGCACCCACGTCAGTGCAACAGAGTTTGCATTTCAACCTATCATTGATGATAATGAAATTGTTTCTTTGCCGATGCTACACCACTTGGGCTCTGTATTGTTCCTAGGTATCTTCAGTTTATACAGCTCAATTGCAAACTTTGATCGAGTGCTTATGTACTAGTACTATCTTCTTACACAGTATGTGCTTATCAGAATTTAATACATGACCTTAAGAAGACGGACCAAAAAATAAAGACAGAAATGTTTTTGAATGATGGTTTAGAGCTTGAAGAGCAGAATTATATCAAGAACAAGAACTGTTGTGTGTGTGTTCAGCTAAGAATTCCTCATTTCTAAATAAATAAGCATAGATAATTTCATACACAACCTGGATTTTATTTGATTCTTGACTTTCCATGTTGATATGTGTGTCTTTTTCTGTTTACGGAAATGTTTTTCAACATTTTGAACCTCTTTTGGTGGAGGCCCTTGTCTTGCTTGAAATGTCGAGCTTTGTCTTGGTTATTTTGTTTGATGCCATTATATTTATGAGATGTGTGTTACTTAATTGACCTATCAGAAAAATAAAAATGTATTTATACTATTTTATGTTTTGAAGGTGAGGAGATTCCCTTGGGTCAATCAAATAGGGAACTTGACATTGAACTTGGACGAGTTGATCCATATGCTGACACAACTGCTGGAGCATTGCAGGATATTGCATTTAAGTGTGGAGCCAAGGTACTTACAATAGTAATAAACTCTCATATATTCTGGTAAAATAAGATGCTTATAACAACTGAAGGTAAACGCAAGCGGTTTTTAATTTCAGTGTTTAATTGGATTTAAATACTTGTAGGTGGAGTTCAGGCCAGGTTTGGTGTCAAGCACGGATTTGCAGTTCTCTATGGAGGTGGTTGAAACTCTTCTCTCACATACTAGTTATTTTTGCTGTAGTTTCAGTACCGGGAACTTGTACTAGTGAAGTTGAATAAGGATTAATAACTGATCTGCACCTGATTCACAAATTTTTCTCTCTCACTCATTCTTTCTCTTACTCACAAACACACACATAATTAGTCCATGTACCATGTGCTTTTGTTAAGTTATATTCATGATAGTCTGTCCACTGAATTGCTTTACACGTCTAATGAGGTCATGCTATCTACGTCCTTCACAGGTCTTGTTTGCGGGAGAGAAAATTGGTGAAGGAATTGGTCGGACAAGGAGGGAAGCCCAGCATCAGGCTGCTGAGGGATCACTCATGAATTTGGCTGGTGAGATATTCCATTGTCATCTTCACTGATACTTGTTAATGCATCATTTGTGTCAATATTTACATTCAGTGGTTTGCAGAAGTTTAGTTTTTGTTTGTCATTCATTTTGGCTGCAGCTTATTTCTTAGGAAAGTGCCTTGTAATGTAAGTTCTTCTTGGTGACACATCTTGGATGGGAAATTTTGTGTATCCTAACATAATAAAAGTACAAAACTTTGAGGTAGTTCCTTGAATAATTAGAAATGTGTGCCTGCTGATTTATGTTCTATTCAGTATTTTTATTATTTTAAATATTTGATATAGCAATACCACCTGTCCCTTTTGGACGCCATGGAATAGTTTGCTACAATGGCTTTGTCTAGTTGACATTTAAAGTTTAATTTATTTGGAGGATACTTAGCTCGTCTGAAACATGGATTTGGATATTAGAGCAGTCAGAGAATAGCTAAGGTTTTACTTGCAGAAAAAACCATTGTAGCTAAGAGAATGGAAAGATTTGATTCTTTCTTTTGATATGCATACATTTAGGTGTCCCCTGCGAACACAGTTATGAAATGAGTCCACTTTTTTTGGGAAAAAATTGGTTCTTGGACAAAGCACTTGTGTAGATACTCCTTTCTTTGCATATTTTACAAAAGGGCTTTTAACATGAAATTGTTGACCTGCAGTGTGTTTATGCCTTACTCAGTTGATGCATATGCCTACAGCTGATTTGTTCTCTACATAGAAAGGCTGCCTTTCTCATTAACCAGAAAACTTGTGTTTCAGTGAGCTTACTTAAGAAACCGTAAGAGATCAACCAACTATGTCTAAGACTTTAAGTCTAGTCTCCTAGACCTATGAAACATGAAACTAGAATCACCAGAAAATCAGAGATACAGAGCGAACATAATATGAATTGAAATCTTGTTGGAGTGGCAGCAATATCTATTGAATACTTTAATTTTGCAAAATCCTCGAAAGCTTCTCGTCCGTATGGATCAAAGAACCACAAAGATTGAAGTGTATAAAGTACAGGCTCCTTGGCATATTATGTCATGAAGATATTGTGTTATCTCTTGGCATCACCCTCTGCATCCAGAGATCACAGAAGTGGAAGTTGGATGAAGGAAGAGAATAAAAGATGCTCTACGATACACGAATAGAGCACTAAATTTGCACATTTTTGTGAACTTCTAATTCTCATGCTCAGTTATTCAACTATTTTCTAGGCCTCACCAAAACATATTTGGCTTTGGTTTAGGCAATATGCTTTAAAGATGCACATTTACTTGGCTAGTATTTTTGAAGTTTTCAACTTAGAAAGTAGCATATCGGTATTAGATATTATATTGAGATAATTTTCTCTCTATGAAATTTTCTGCTTTGCATGCTTTCTGGTTGATTCTTACTGTCACAGTCTTTGATTTTTTGCAGATAAGTATCTTTCACGTCTTAAGCCTGATTCCAGCTCTGTGCATGGGGAGGGGAGTAGGTTTGCTAATGACAACAGTTTTATGAGTGAAATGAATTCTTTTGGGTATCAGTCATTGCCCAAGGAGGACTCTGTTTCATTTTCAGCTTCATCAGAGCCACCTAGGGTTTTGGACCCAAGGCTAGAGGCCTCCAAGAAATCAATGGGTTCAGTCTCTGCACTTAACGAATTGGTAAGATCTCAGTAACTTAAAAGAGTGCTGTTTTTAATGTTTATACTTTCTATGGTTGTAATAGAGAGGTGTCTGATTATTGGTGTGACGCGGATTTACTTTTCTTTATAGTGCATGGTTGAAGGCCTTGCTGTTGCTTTTCAAACTCAGCCTCAGCTTTCAGTTAATCCAGGCCAGAAAAACGAAGTATACGCACAGGTTAGACATTTATACAAGTATCTTTGCTTTAAATTTGGTAATTAAGTCTGGCAATACTTTTGTTCAAAAAAAAAAAAAGAAAGTCTGGCAGTACTTGCTTCATTAGTAGTAGTATGTAGTTGGAACTTTCAAGTTCAGAGCAAAAGCGAATACTTATTGCACTCCCTCCCTCATTTTTTTATTTTGTTACTGAAATTAATTTAGTTATTGAAGAACTTAAATTTTTCTTCTATTGCTTTGAAATGGGCTTGGACTTAATCTTTTGATGGAATAAATTGTTTTCCTGAATATTATACTGTATATTGGGTTTGGTTGTGGCCTTTCTAGATAATGTGACTTGCACAATTCTCTGTTTTTCAAATCTATTGGGCTCTTGATTTCGAGGAACAGTTACCCTGAACTACATGAATCTCTACCTGGTGGGGACTTTTAAGGAGACCATCTTTGTGTGGTGATACCTGTAGGTTACATCTATGTATTGACATAAGAACCTGTTTTTGCATCATGTTTTAGGTTGAAATAGATGGACAGGTGTTGGGTAAGGGAATCGGATTAACATTGGATGAGGCTAAGATGCAGGTATTATGTTTTCTTTTTGTATTTTTTTTCTTCTCTCTTTCCCCCCTCTACGGCACTTCTATGTCTTCTTATTAGTTTAGCTCTAAGCAACTTGTTATTCTGCAATTACTTGTGTTTCTGACCTGCGATTCATTTTCATAGGCTGCTGAAAAGGCTCTTGGAAGTTTGAAATCCATGCTTGGTCAGTTTTCTCATAAGCGTCAAGGATCTCCAAGGTGAGTGATTTGTTCTGCTGCTGGTATTTGGTACTGAATTCTACCGGTTTGCACATTTCAATTCAAGACGCTTTAAGAAAAGGATTTGAGGCCGGAGTCAACCAAAAATGATTTTGTTCTTGGGTTGTTCCTGGATTGCAGCATTTCTCGTGGCTGTTCATGTTAAACAGGATAGGATTTTGATGACACTTGTTATTGTTCATTTTATCATGTGTGGGTCTGCAATTTTTTTCTCCAAAATACGTGTGTTCACCTACCCAACTCCTCTATGCTAATCCAGATTTCCTATCTCCAAAATACCTTCCCCCACGGGGTGGGGGAGGAAAAATTGTTTGTCATTTAGGATTAATTTCTGTTATGTGGANGGAACTTTCAAGTTCAGAGCAAAAGCGAATACTTATTGCACTCCCTCCCTCATTTTTTTATTTTGTTACTGAAATTAATTTAGTTATTGAAGAACTTAAATTTTTCTTCTATTGCTTTGAAATGGGCTTGGACTTAATCTTTTGATGGAATAAATTGTTTTCCTGAATATTATACTGTATATTGGGTTTGGTTGTGGCCTTTCTAGATAATGTGACTTGCACAATTCTCTGTTTTTCAAATCTATTGGGCTCTTGATTTCGAGGAACAGTTACCCTGAACTACATGAATCTCTACCTGGTGGGGACTTTTAAGGAGACCATCTTTGTGTGGTGATACCTGTAGGTTACATCTATGTATTGACATAAGAACCTGTTTTTGCATCATGTTTTAGGTTGAAATAGATGGACAGGTGTTGGGTAAGGGAATCGGATTAACATTGGATGAGGCTAAGATGCAGGTATTATGTTTTCTTTTTGTATTTTTTTTCTTCTCTCTTTCCCCCCTCTACGGCACTTCTATGTCTTCTTATTAGTTTAGCTCTAAGCAACTTGTTATTCTGCAATTACTTGTGTTTCTGACCTGCGATTCATTTTCATAGGCTGCTGAAAAGGCTCTTGGAAGTTTGAAATCCATGCTTGGTCAGTTTTCTCATAAGCGTCAAGGATCTCCAAGGTGAGTGATTTGTTCTGCTGCTGGTATTTGGTACTGAATTCTACCGGTTTGCACATTTCAATTCAAGACGCTTTAAGAAAAGGATTTGAGGCCGGAGTCAACCAAAAATGATTTTGTTCTTGGGTTGTTCCTGGATTGCAGCATTTCTCGTGGCTGTTCATGTTAAACAGGATAGGATTTTGATGACACTTGTTATTGTTCATTTTATCATGTGTGGGTCTGCAATTTTTTTCTCCAAAATACGTGTGTTCACCTACCCAACTCCTCTATGCTAATCCAGATTTCCTATCTCCAAAATACCTTCCCCCACGGGGTGGGGGAGGAAAAATTGTTTGTCATTTAGGATTAATTTCTGTTATGTGGATTAGGCAATTACAGGGGATGTCAAGTAAACGACTGAAGCCAGAGTTTCCCCGAGTTCTGCAGCGAATGCCATCTTCTGCAAGATATCCAAGAAATGCTTCCCCAGTGCCCTGAAATTTGTACCATACAAATGCTTCCTCATTCGTATAGCACCACTTGGATTTTTACCATACCTGACTTGTAAGAGCAAGGGCTTTTGGAATCCAGGTTCTGCCCAGTGGTCATTCCCATCTTCAAGACTCTGATCATAGTCCCAAGGGAAGTGTAACTTGCTGGAACAGCCTTACAACTAACTTAATCACAAATTTTTGGAAGGAACGGGAGGAGCTAGTTGTGGTTTTGAGGTGTACATTTTGTGGGATTTCCAAGGACTGTTGGATCAGTTTTTCCACTGAAAATGCAAAAGCCTTGCAAGGTACTAGAAGGAAAACCCATATGACCTGCAGCTTCTTTTACATTGTCCATGCCATCAAAGCCAAGATTTTTGGAGAGGCTGCATTTAATTAAGCGGAATATATGGTCGAAGTGTTTGTGTAATTAAGCGGGAAGTACTGGAATGTCGTACTGATGAGGGATAACTTATGGCTTATCCAGGAGGATACGCCAACCATCGACCGTTCTACAGGGCTCTGTTGACTGGCTGCTTCCTGTTTTTCTCCCCTTCCATTTTCAGAGACTCCCAACTTGTAGGAAGAGGTACAATTAGTTAATTTTGTTTGAGCCTTTGTCATTGTTGAACCTCCTGCGAAGTGGCAAGAATTATACTGAGCCTTGGAATACAGTTTTCCATTCAATATAATTTAAGAAGGGGTTTTGTCATGTCATCTTGATGTTTTTTGTGCATTGTTTGATACACTTTCACCATCTTACTTGGGCAGTGTAGCCTATATCTGCCCCGCCTCGCCCGGGAGTGCTGTTAGCTGCTACTGGGCCATCATCATCATGATCTTTTTCTTTCAAGGCTATGATAAAAGCATGGATTTAAAACCAGGTTTCTTGTGAAAATGGCTGTCATGATAGAAAGAACATAGCAACTGCATGATAATGTGGGTGGAACTTCATGTTTTAGATGAGAACTGCAGCATTAATGGTAAATCCATCTTATGGGAGAAACAAATAGTCATTCATATAGACCTAGGTAGAATTTTTAACGAATCTCGTAAAATTATCGTATTCATTGTTCTTATTTTTTTGTTTGATTGTTTACCACGTACCACACATACACAACATTTTTGAATCATATCTTGATTTATTAATCGTTACTCTTGGTATGGTATCAAAAAGTTTCGGTACCATAGGAAATCTCTATAGAACCCAAAATGTGGAAAGCTTTATTGTCCCATCCCTCTCATTGTTGGACCCGTTGAACCAGGGTTGAGCAATCCGTTTACAATTCTTATACTTCCAACCCTCCATCAATGCACAGTACAAGGGGATTATGTTTGTCTCATACTACAGTCTTTCAGTTCTATCAATAGTAAATTATTCACCATTTATTGTTAGATGGTTCACTTAAGTATAGGGGTCTCATTTTGATTCATGTGATAGAAATATCAATAGAATAAAAGGAATCTAATACTAAAGTAGAATCTAGATTCATTAATTCTAGCAGGGTTTTTTGTTATTTATTTATTTTTCTGAGATAATATAGTTAGCAATTTGAAATTGAGCAATGTTATTTTGATCTAATTTATTAATTTAATTTATTGATCTAATTCACTGTAACTATTGAATTGATTGAGAGCTCTATTGAACATTAAAACTTGGTGTTCATACAACAACTACAATGAAATCAGTAGGTCCAATTTTTAGGTCTAAATAGTATAACTTTTTAAATTTTATCCCTAAATAATTATTTCATCCATTTTTATCACATTAATCATATCTATCACAAGTTGACTGATTTAATTTTTGATTAATTTGTGGTTTAATATAATTTTTATTTTGGACATTGTTCATGTACAATAATATACACGTATTGATCTTTGTTTAAAGTCATGTATTTTGAGAAAATTTTATCTATTCTTTTAAAAAAATAATGAGTAAAAAATAATTTTAAATCATGCAATTAAAAAAATTGAAGGAAAAAAATTATAATTTAATATAATGAGATCGATTTTTTAAACACTCTAAGCTATGTTGCATTGTGCCTCCAAATAGGGGTTATCATTAATTTATTTAATTTGAATTGGAATAGATTTAACATGAGTCAAACAAAGTCGTGATGCCAAAACTCCTTGAAGTTGTCTAAATTGGAACTTGTTGTCTCAACAAGTCTATGCAAAAACCAATTTTTTAAACATTAAAACCAAGGCAATGACATACTAACATAGTAATAGATGAGTTAACAATAGAGATTGTCCACTTCAACTTTCATAATCAAATAGTTTTTTAATGCAATAAATATTTTTGCAATAGATATAAGGAGTGATGATAAATACTTATTTGTTATTGCAAGTTCAAGTTTGATAATCAATTTCTTGTAAATGAGGAATTAGGCTTGACAATTTCAAATATGGCTCGAGAATTCGATACAAAATTAACAGGATTAACTTTAATCATAATGAGTTCGAATGATAAATGGGTGAAATTGTTAAACTCATATAAAAAGGTCAACACGAGAATTACTTAACAATACACAAATAGGACAACACACGACTATATGCGATTTAGATAAGTTAAGCATGACGTAAATAAATTTTGATAATACACGACTTAACCATGACTATTCCCAAATTGGGAACGTCAATAAATTTTTCTCTCTTCTTTTGTTTGTCCAACATTTATTATACTATAAATAATGCATATAAGGAGATTCTGATNCAGAATTTTTAACGAATCTCGTAAAATTATCGTATTCATTGTTCTTATTTTTTTGTTTGATTGTTTACCACGTACCACACATGCACAACATTTTTGAATCATATCTTGATTTATTAATCGTTACTCTTGGTATGGTATCAAAAAGTTTCGGTACCATAGGAAATCTCTATAGAACCCAAAATGTGGAAAGCTTTATTGTCCCATCCCTCTCATTGTTGGACCCGTTGAACCAGGGTTGGACAATCCGTTTACAATTCTTATACTTCCAACCCTCCATCAATGCACAGTACAAGGGGATTATGTTTGTCTCATACTACAGTCTTTCAGTTCTATCAATAGTAAATTATTCACCATTTATTGTTAGATGGTTCACTTAAGTATAGGGGTCTCATTTTGATTCATGTGATAGAAATATCAATAGAATAAAAGGAATCGAATACTAAAGTAGAATCTAGATTCATTAATTCTAGCAGGGTTTTTTGTTATTTTTTTTTTTCTGAGATAATATAGTTAGCAATTTGAATTTGAGCAATGTTATTTGGATCTAATTTATTAATTTAATTTATTTATCTAATTCACTGTAACTATTGAATTGATTGAGAGCTCTATTGAACATTAAAACTTGGTGTTCATACAGCAACTACAATGAAAATACATCATTAGGTCCAATTTTTAGGTCTAAATAGTATAACTTTTTAAATTTTATCCCTAAATAATTGTTTCACCCATTTTTATCACATTAATCATATCTGTCACAAGTTGACTGATTTAATTTTTGATTAATTTGTGGTTTAATATAATTTTTATTTTAGACATTGTTCATGTACAATAATATACACGTATTGATCTTTGTTTAAAGTCATGTATTTTGAGAAAATTTTATCTATTCTTTTAAAAAAATAATGAGTAAAAAATAATTTTAAATCATGCAATTAAAAAAATTGAAGGAAAAAAATTATAATTTAATATAATGAGATCGATTTTTTAAACACTCTAAGCTATGTTGCATTGTGCCTCCAAATAGGGGTTATCATTAATTTATTTAATTTGAATTGGAATAGATTTAACACGAGTCAAACAAAGTCGTGATGCCAAAACTCCTTGAAGTTGTCTAAATTGGAACTTGTTGTCTCAACAAGTCTATGCAAAAACCAATTTTTTAAACATTAAAACCAAGGCAATGACATACTAACATAGTAATAGATGAGTTAACAATAGAGATTGTCCACTTCAACTTTCATAATCAAATAGTTTTTTAATGCAATAAATATTTTTGCAATAGATATAAGGAGTGATGATAAATACTTATTTGTTATTGCAAGTTCAAGTTTGATAATCAATTTCTTGTAAATGAGGAATTAGGCTTGACAATTTCAAATATGGCTCGAGAATTCGATACAAAATTAACAGGATTAACTTTAATCATAATGAGTTCGAATGATAAATGGGTGAAATTGTTAAACTCATATAAAAAGGTCAACACGAGAATTACTTAACAATACACAAATAGGACAACACACGACTATATGCGATTTAGATAAGTTAAGCATGACGTAAATAAATTTTGATAATACACGACTTAACCATGACTATTCCCAAATTGGGAACGTCAATAAATTTTTCTCTCTTCTTTTGTTTGTCCAACATTTATTATACTATAAATAATGCATATAAGGAGATTCTGATATATCTAGAAAAAAAACGAAACTAAAACTACAAATCTTTGATAAGCAAGATCGACTTCTTAATTTTATGAAGAAATGCGCGACTTGGTAACTCTCTTCTCTTTGGAAGTGGGGGGGAAATGAGAGATATTTTGTTCCACCAAAGAAAATTGTTGAATTCCTGTCTTTCAAAGAATTTTTATGAGATATCAAACTATCATTTATAGGATTTAATAATTCTTAAGAGTTGATTCGTCCTTTTAATTATCCATATTTGGTCATCTATTTTATTTAGTAATAAAGATAATAATGAATAAAAAAAAAATAATTTATATCTACGACAGATCTACAACAAAAGAGAGGGTTCCATCAGAATAATTATTATTATGATGTATTACTAGTCACTGTCTATTACTTGTCTTTTAAGACTACAAAGTCTATTGTATTGTTCAAATGGTAGTATTGTTTATTTGTTTAAACTTATTTTATTAATCTAATTTTGTATGATTATTGAATTATTAACATATCCCACCTTAAGTCCATAAATTAAATTTAAATAACATTATTATTTTTTAAATATTAGATGTAAATCCAAAAGGTGAACATTAGATGTAAATCAATAAAGAA